GCCATAGCGCACTCCAGGGACAGACGGTGGCGAGGTTCCACGTCGCCGATGCTAGAGCCATCGCTCTCACACTCGTCATCCGGGAGTTCATGGGGGATGGTAGGAGCATAGCTCGCCATTCCCACGAATTCGGATGTGAGGGGGATGGCGCCAGCATCCTTCAGAGCCCCTGAGCGTACGCATTCACGGAGGACGCGAGGCCATAGGGGAACTGATCGTACGATGTTTGTGGTGCGGTGAGTACAGTCTCTCTGGATGATCGGTGGGAGATAGTAAATAAAGAGTAAACAATAGTATGCATATTACTCACAGCAGGGTTTGAGCAGAGAGTTTGCTCAGAAAGAAGCGCAAATGCCACGTCGTCGAAGTCATGCGTCCCAGAGTCGATGGAGGGTGCCCCTCCGATGGGTGCCGGGACGTGAGCCTCCTCGTGGAGGTGTAGTACGCCGAGCCGGTCGGTGACGAAGTCCAGGCTTCCAAAGAGGAAGGCCTAGGATAGCTCGAAGATGGGTGCAGCCCACATCCCAATGGGTGAGAGTGCGGGAAATTCCAGCGAGCCGAAGCGAATCGTATCGCCCGAGCCCACCACGGCGAGGGTGGCCGAAAAGTGGGCCATCCGATGACCAAAAACCGTTGAACGTACAGTGTCTCCCCACGGATGGCGCCAATTGTTGGTACAGAAAGTGACCAACTAGTAAATATTTGTAGTTTTGCCGTACGTTGTGATCGGAGGTGGCTTAGCACTCAATGACATAGTGTTTATACTGGTTCAGGCAACGTGCCCTACGTCCAGTTTGGGTCGGTCAGTGACTTTATTCCTGAGCCCAGGTGCTCAAAGTTTGTAGTGGGGTTACAAACGAGAAGGAGAAAGATGAGGTGTTCAAGAGGTCCGGTCAGCTCCGGTTGGAAGGGCCGAGAGCGACAGGAACTACGCTATGAGCTAAGTGTCCAAGCGTGTGCTTGGGGTTCAAACCTGGCGGTTTTGTGGTTGTGAGCTAGTTAACTTGGTTGATCTAATGAATCTGGGATGACTTGTATGATCTTGAATCCACCGAAGAGAACTATCCTACGTTGGAGGGGGCACATCCCCTTTTATAGATGAAGGGAATGGCCTTACAAGTGAGAGAGAAAGGGTACGTTTGCTGGTAAGTCTTGCCGCCCACGCTGGCGGGTTCAAGATGTTTGTAGGCGCCCACAACACTGTTGATGTCACTGTATAATATCAGATGCATGTGGGAGGTTGCGTTGCCTTCTTCAGGAATGGTAGATGCCGGTACCAGCAAAATACTGTTTGATGCCTAGAGGCATGTGAGGAGTTTCACCATGTTCACCTGGTACGGTAAATCCCGGCGCCCACAACACTATCGATGCCCAGAGGCATGTGGGGGGCCTTACCATATGGGAGTTAGTTAATGGCGCCTACAATACTATAGAGGGAAATGTCGGCACCTACAATACTATTTGTGTCAGGGTGGTTGCAGAGTACTATTCCTATAGGTGTACAGGGTATGGTCCCTAGTACCGTGGTTTTGACTTGTGCGCCCTGGCTTGCGTTCTCCATTCGTTCCCTGGTCCCTTCTGAGCGGGCGTCCCCAGTCGGATGGCCCCAGTCGGCTCTGGTCGCGCCAGTCGGAGAAGAGCGGTGAGCAGGGTTCCTGCGAACCCCGGTCGGAGATGCGGGGTCAGAGTCGGAAGTAGCGCTTGGGTCAGGCCTTCCGATCGAAGAGGCCGTCCGAAGGCGGCTGGAGTCCGAAGCAAGCGCTTCGCCTGGAGAGGTGGGCCGAAGTAGTCGATGAGTAGGCGTTGTTCCTCTTCGGCCAGACCTTCTGGTCGGTGACTAAACCGCCCTTCCGGCCTATTGTTTTAGACTCTTGGGCCGGCCCATGAGTTACGTGCTCTCTGCTTGGGCCGAGCCTTCACGTGGAAGCCAGTCCCCGAGGAACCCCGGGTTTATGAACCCGACAGCTTGTCTTAACTGTGTTTCACCATTTTTCTTGTGTTGCAGACAGTAGTGTCATCTTTAGTGGAACTGCCCATTTTGGAGATATCTGGGCTGCAAGATGATCTTGGTGGTTTCATTATGGAGTGATTTCATGAGTGTGATGAATCTGATGCGCATGCAGCCTCATCTATGATGTCTCCTCTAGCTCAGAGGTTGGCCCCTGAAGCCCTTCAGTTAATTGATAACCTAGTGACCTACTTAGACTATGAAGCAAAGCTTGTCTTAACTGTGTTTCACCTTTTTTCTTGTGTTACAGATAGTAGTGTCATCTTTAGTGGAGCTAACCATTTTGGAGATATCTAGGATGTAAGAAGATCTTGGCGGTTTCATTATGGAGACCATCACCTTATCTAATCAAGGTACTACAGTTCCTGACCTTGGAATGTCAGTTTCATTTTGGATGTATGTTTGTGTTCTAAAAACTATATATTTGCTGTGGTTGGATTTGGACGTTATGTCTCTATGGTTTAAAACTATGTATGTTGCGGTCGTTTTGTATGGATATTTGTCTCGGTCGTGTTCTAGAAAATATATATGTTGCTGTCAATGCGTAAGCCATGAAATTTATGTATTGTTGGTGCTATAATGTATTGTGAACAACAATGATGCACAGTGGTAACACCAGCGGTAATGGACAAAACATTACTGTCGGAACAAACACAACGGTGGTGGTGATGCTGCCCCTCATTACCGCTGGAGGGAGCACCGACCGCGTGCGATGGCACCTACATCACCGTTGTATGGTATTTTGGACCGGTGTTGATATTCTCGTCATCATAGCCGGATGGTACGATGGGCCGGCGTTGATGTTCTCGTCATCACAGTCGAATAGTATGCCCATCCCGCGTTGATGTTCTCGTCATTGCTATCGGATGGTAGGACGGCCCGGCATTGATATGTTCATCATCACCACCGGTTGGTATGCTGCCCCAGCGATGATAGGTACATCATCACCGACGAATGGTACGCCGTGCCGGCGTCGATGGTTACATTATCACCGTCAGATCGTACACTGACCCGGCATCGATGGTTACACTATCACCGCGCGGATGGTATGCCAGACTGGCATTGACGGATGCATCATCACCGCCGGATGGTATGCTGACCCGGCGTCGATGGTTACACCATCACTGCCGAATCATACGTTGGGCCGGCGGTGGTAAGACACTGTCACAGGCGTATGGTACGCCGGACTGACGGTGGTAAAATACCGTCATCGCCGGCGCGCAACCGGCGGAGATAAAGGTCGCCGATCACCGCTGACATACACCAACGGGGCCAAAACCATCGGTAATAGGGGTTCTGGAGCCGACGGTAATTAGCTTTTTGTAGTAGTGGGACATCCTTGATAAGATCATGTGCATTGTAATTAATTCTTTGGCATGTGTTTTAGTTTACTCTGTTAGGGTCCAACAAGGCCACATAATTGATCCCTCTAGTCCTACACATTTTTGCCTCCATACTACAAAAGCAAGAAATGATCAATCCTTATATGTATCCATTATTATAAGACACAGTGTGACATATTGTGTGGCGATGGTACTTACATAGTCTAGAAGGAAAGTATTTGAAGGTCGAGTTGGCACTTCTGGTATAAATTAAACGGTGGGGGGTACGACCCCGGATACCCATGGTAGACTACATGGGCTGCGCCACCAGGGTTGGTTCAGCCCACAAGACGAAGACTTACAGTATACGGTACTGCTCGGCGTGTACCGCAACACATCAAGGGCGATATCCTGAAGATGCTACGAGATCTGTTAGGATATGCTCGATCCCGTAATTCCTGTAATCTGTTATTACATACCGGTTATCTCCTAGATCTAACTGACTTGTAACCCTACCCCCCGGCTATATAAGGCAGGTAGGGGACCCTCTCAAAAGACACGCAATATCATATGATAGCCAATACAAACCAACAGACCACAGAAGTATGGTATTACGTCGTGTAGACAACCCAAACCTGTCTAACTCTTGTGTCTCTGTTGTCTTCTTGTTCTTGATTACGCGCACCTCTACCAATCAATCTACCTTCGTGGGATACCCCTCAGAGGACTACCGATGATATTATGTTGATAGTTGGCTCGCCAGGTAGGGGAGTGCATGTTGTTTCCATGACGAACAAGATGGTACACTTTTCAGGCTCTTCGTCCTCTCTAAATCCTAGCTAGGTCTTTACGGTCGGATTGATCTCCTACGTCATCAATGCTGACGAAGACGGAGAGATCATCAAGCTGGTGTAGATCGATTCTGCGCCAACCACACCAACACCTACAACGATAGATATGATCTCGGAACTGCCTCTGAGGTTGTTTTCACCAACAACTCGCTGCCTGCTGCCCCGCTACTCGAGAAAGCATGTTAGCAATGATGATCTGATCGCATCCATCGATTAGGTCGGCTAGAAGTCCATCGACTGCCTCTCCCTCATGGAATCGGCTCTGACCACTCTGGTTCGGCGTCGACCATCTTTCGGTTCCAATCTATTGGAAGCCAATCGGAAAACTCCAAGGGATATGGCCACCATCCATCAGGATGCCTTAAGGGACAAATTCATCGACCAGATTGGAGACATCTATCCTCTCGCCGACCCGATCGCCGACCAGCTCTCGCGCGACTATCAATATGTTGTAAATCGGCCAACATCCTAAAGAAACCCTCCACACCATCCTGGAGAAAAATCCAGACTCTGAGTCCCAGGGCTCTATGGAGATTGTCGTCGAAACCGCTGTCGTCCAACCTCCTTTTCCACCCTTTTGTTGAGGCGGGATTTTTAATGTCAAGATTGACAGCCCTCCACGGGATGGAGAAACCGATGAGGACCGTCCAGCTCATATCAACAGAAACACCAACCATGCACCTCCAACAGACGCAACACTCAACAACAAGATCGGAGTCAAGCGATCTAAGAAAGCTAAGTCGAGTCGTTTCCTAATTAAATATTATTATTATACTTCTATAAATATCTATATGTCTATATGATTTGGTTGAGAGAAACCTAATCACATCTTGTTTGTTGCTCGTGATTTCTGATTGGATATGCAAGATCATTTCCGTGGATCACAACAACCAGAAGCTGTAGGAGTGGACGGCCGGAGAAGAAAGGATACACCTCATACCGGAAGCTGCACCAGGTTCCGAAAACTCCCCCGCCATTGACCCCACTGAAATCCTCGGGCATCCGGTTAATAATGGTGCCAAAACAGCTCTGGCAGAAGTCCACCGTCTTGTCCGGCGTGCACTGCGCCAGCGCGTAAATCCTGGGGTTGCTCCCATCGAAACCCTCCGCCCCCGTGGCGAACCTCCTGGACGAGTTCTCGGCTGCGTAGCCGGCCGTGGTGTTGACGAGCAGGCGGACGGCTGCATCGAACGCGTCCGTCGGCTTGCTCACCACCTGGGAGCCCACGAGGTAGTACGCGGTGGTGAAATTGTCGGTGTCCGGGAAGAAGTTGCGATTGGAGAAGCGGAGCTGGCAGAGGTCGTAGAAGATCAAGACGTCCTTGAAGAGTGGGCACCCCTTCTGCGCGCGCTGGAAGGCGGTCGCCACGCAGCTCTCGCAGGAGGAGGCGTTGGCGTCGCCACGGCACAGAGCGAGCGCGTAGACGATATTCGGGACGGAGCCGACGCTGTCCGTGGCTTAGAGGACCGGACTGGAGGAGACGTTCTTGGGGAGGGTGCCAGAGAGTCGATTGATGTTTCCTTGGCAGGTGCTGTTCTCCGTGTAGTTGCCACTGGGAGGGTCGGGGCCGCAAATTAGCCACGGCGGCGGTTGCTCTTGAGCAAAGGTGAACGGTGTGTGGAGGACGGCGACGAGAAAGGTCAAGGCAACTCCGGCGATCTGGGGAGGAAGGCAGAGGGGCTTGGGCCACCGTGTGGACATGGTGGTCTGTACTCGCTCTGGCGCTGGGTAGAGAGAGGTGCGGGTGCGTCAAATAATAATAATAATAATAATAGTAATAAGAATAATATTATAATTTATTACTCCTCCAACGCCTAATGAAATCAGCTCCTCTGGTATGAAGTATGCTCGGTCTCTGCGTGGAAGGTGCCCCGTCCAGTGGGAGTGGGACTCGGAGCGACGACGTGCGTCGAGGGGCCGCGGGCAGGACGGACACCACGGAGGGCCCATGCGCATTTAAGGCGTCTGCATCGACACCATCTTCAGACACGCGCAAGCAGAGTCTGCAGCGATTGGGCCTCCCGTTCGGGTCGATGTGCTCGGCCCAATGGACCCAGAGTGGAAGAGCCGAGGGTGCGACTGTAGTCTGTCCATGCGGCCCTCAAGTCATAAGCACTTTGACGCCCTCTTATTTTTTTAAGGTCGCGAATGTATTATTGTCTATCTTCTGTAATAATCTTTTTATTATTATATATATATATATATATCAGATTTTAGATATCTTTTTAGTGCACTAGCGATTAGCGTGTGCCCTTAGGCGCATGCTGGGACTGTATTTTTTTAAAAAAGAGTACAATTAATTATGAATAATGATTAGTGCGTAACTTGGCGCTCTTCACACCACGATTCTAGAGTTTGCACGCCCCTCTTGTGTACCGCTGGAGGCGCTAGCGTCAACCCGTGGGTTTATGCGACCATCTCAAGACTCCCAGCAACTGCTCCCCTTCGCTCAACATGTGTACTCCCTCTATCCTGTGTCAGCTATAGGGTGAGTCCGTGAGTATCAGTCAAACTTTCTTAAGTTTGATTATGTTCGTAGAAAATATTAGCAATATTTATATCTTAAAATAAGTTTATTATGAAAATAGATTTAACAATCTATCCAATGATATTAAGGTCATGTTCGCTTCTCTTATAATCCGTTTTTTTCAACTTGTTTTTTCAGTCAGAACAGTGTTTTCTCTCACAACAAATTAGCCGGAACAATATTTCGACTCGTTTTTTGAGCGAAGCGAACGGGGTCTAATTATGTATGATAAATATTAAATATTTTTTAAAATATAATTAGTCAAAGTTGACTATATTTGACTTCTCAAAAAATAAGAACGACAGTTAAAAAGGGACGGAAGGAGTATGTGAGCAAAACTGCTGCTAGCCTCTCTGTATTTTGCGGTGTAAGAAACACCCCCCCTCTAGATACGTTTTATTTGTAGGCTAGATACGCTTTATTTCATCCCTACTGAAGTATAGACACGCTTTAGAGCGTGTCTGGGGCGTCTCCACACGGACCGTGTTAGGAACCATAGATACGTTTTGTTAAGCATGTCTAGAAGACATGAGATGCTTTATAGACACGAAATCAAACATTTCTAAAAGACATAAAAACGCTTCCCAAAGACGATTATTTTTGTATCTACTTCCTTTAGAGACATTTTAATATTTGTATCAAGCAAAGTTGATATGTCCGTTTTTTCATTCTTTTCTTTTTTCTAATATATTTTGTGGAATTGTTTTTTAATGCACGTATAAACATATTTACTTTGGAGACCATTAATATAAAAGAAGAAATCCCACATCAAATGTGTTCATTTAATATTAGAGCAGACAGAGTCAATCATCCATATACAACATGCATATATTACATATTCCTTAATTCTTATACATTGGGATCTAAGCTCCTAAAAAAAAAAGCTTTGCTCATCCAGACACTTGTGCTTCAACTCTCAATCTTCACTTCTTCATTCAGCACACTTTGTTGATATGCTTCAATGATCCTACAGAGCAAGCAAATAAATTCATTCGATATTTATATTAGTAGCATCTGCATATAATAATGCGATGTTCATATTAGTAGCTAACTACTATGCTCTAGGATTGCAAATTCACACAGACAAGTGCCTTGGCTGATAAGTCATGACTGAAAGTATTGTTGACTGATTTGTTGTGAGAAAAAAATACTATTCATTGGCTAAAAAAATAGCTTATAATCTAAGCGAACAGAGCAAAGAAATAGGCCTCTGTGAAACGTACGAAGCTATAGTGAGGACATTGCATGTAGACTGTACATGATGATGACATATACCAATGCTCAGGATCTACACTGCCCATAAAACATATTTATCAGGATAACCACATCTTTGATATATTAATGCAGTGACTTGCATGAAAAAGAGATGGGATTCTGGCTTTTCATAGGTTGTTCACCTTTCAAAAACCATATGACCAAGCATGTCTGAACTTTAAGCACGCACCTTGTTGAACCATTTGAAAGCAGCAACCTACAGCCACAAACCATCCAATAGCAGAGACCTCAGATGCAGCCCGTTCATTTCAAGGGACGGCCGTTTCTCTAGGACAATTTTACAGACTTCTCAAGTCCAGGCAGCAGCAGGATGATAGGGCAAAGTTCAATTAATACATCCAGGTGGGGGATTCTCTCCCCCTCCATACAAATTATAAAATAACAGGTACAAGATAAGCTCTAAAGTGCCTTTTATTCCTCACATAGTTGAGCAGGTACCGATTTGTTGAAATACATTACTTTTTTTTTTAGCATGTGTGTCATTAAGAGGAAGCTAGAGAGTTTACACGACCAGCATCACGTCACGGCGAGATGCCATAAGTGATGCGGTTAAACACGCACAAAAGACATTGCTAAGTGATGGAACGCAAGATGTTGTGCCTAACTAAGAAACTAAATGTGCTACATAAGAACTTGCTCTGTGCTGCCCGCTAAGACAACAACGAAGCGACATAGCCGACAGCGCTCAATCCAACACCCGTGGCGCCCGGCCCCTGCGCGCGCTCTTCACCGGAAAGAGCTGACGCATGGCTGTCTGCTTGGTCTCTGATAGTGGCTCTGCGAACGTGTTGTGGAACCTATCCGCAATCGACGCAACAGCCGAGTTGAGGCTCCGGTCCTGGTTGCGCGGCTTCCACTTGCTAAGCAGGACTTTCTTGGCTTGTATTTCCGGCTTCAGGTCGCGGTAGCCGTACTTTGCCACGAGTCTATCGCTCCGGCGGCGGACGAGGGAGGAGTCGACGTGTCTGGACACAGGAAGGCGTGGGGGCGACTTGACAAGGTTGAAAATACATTACATATGGCATAAAAATAATAAGTCAAATTACAAAATAAGTAGAGTGACACTTCAATTATGATTGCAAATACAAAGAAAGGAGATAAATGAAAGGTTCGTCCTATCTATATCCAGTGCTCTTTCATAAACAGTAAAATGTCACAAATAAAAAGGGCTATAATCTTAATCTGTGCTTGTAGAAAAATTGATCATGTAGTGATCTTTCTGATAAATATTATATGGTAAAGTTTTCAATATTTAATTGATAGACACTGGTGTCTCATCTAACACAATGCAAAATTAAAATGTGACCTTGCTGAATTAAGAACCGGAAAAAGTCTACTTAACCCCTTCACCTTTCATACTTGGTCTACTTCACCCCTAAACTATGAAACCGTATGTTTTACCCCTGAACTTTCTAAAACCGTCTGTTTTACCCCCTGAACTTTCTAAAACCGTCTATCTACTGTAGCAAACCGCCGCTGAAAACCGCCCAAGGGGTAAAATAGACGGTTTTAGAAAGTTCAGGGGGTAAAACAGACGGTTTCATAGTTGGGGGTGAAGTAGACCAAGTATGAAAGGTGGAGGTACGAAAGGTGGGGGGTTAAGTAGACTTTTTGCATTAAGAACCAGGAGCAAGCAACTACTAGTTCAACTTCTGGATTGCAAACTCACAGAGGGGATCTGTGCGGCCAAGCACTTGCCTGTGGCGCACGTGGACGAAGGGCTGCCGGTGCCGGGGTGAGTCATTCATCTATACGGAGCCGAAGACGGGTACAGGGACGATGGGGGACGGTCAGTGGAGAAGATGGCTGCAGTGGCGCCTCGCAAGAATGTCAGACGACGAGGAGAATAACCGAATAAGGAAGAGCCTTTTCCCTGTGTACCATTAAAAAAGATGGCCTTTTCCTACAGGCCACTAAAAAGTTCGGACTTACCTAGGTGCCATGACACTTTATTTCTTTGCCCCCCAAGCCATTCCGTCCATTTTCGCTGGTAACGGTGTATAACGGCGAGGAGAAAAGACCGAAGTGCCCTCAGTCTAGGAAGGATGAGTGAAATTACCGTTTGCCCTGTGTGCCACTCCCTGACCAAGCGTTTGAGCGCCAAGACGGCTGACGTGGGCAAGTTTTTTGGCGCCAAAGGCACTGGACTTGGCGCCAAAGAGACCCCGCTTGGTGCTATAAATAGGCCCTTAGCCCTCCCTTCCCACTCATTCTTCTCCTTTTTGTCTCTCCTGCTACCTTGCTGCCAGTGCCATGTCTCAAGCGTCAAGCAGCTATGGGAGGAGGCCCAGGCGGGTCATGTGCCCCAACTGTAGTGTGCTAGCTAATCAATTCATATCGATGACTACGAACAACCACAATCGTGCTTTCCACAAGTGCCCGTACTTTGTAGTTCGTTTTTCTTCCTTGCTCATTCATTCATAGGTTGTTCTTTATTCCCTCTTTGGTGCTAATCTGTTGATGCTGTTGTTTATAGGCCGGAGGGTGCCAGTTTTATCAATGGGAGGACGAAATGGAGGACACTCTTGTGCACCCACCTAAAGCACCTGCTCCATTACAGGCCATTCCTCTACAGGCAGTGGCAGCACTAGCTCCTATCTCTACAGCAGCTCCTCTGGCCATCGTCCAGGAAGATTCCCAGTCGGCTAGAATTGTAGGCAATGCAGTAGTGGAAGATAGGGTTCTTCAGCAGCTTAGGTGGATTGAAAAGCTGGTGTTTGTGTGCATCTTTCTTGCTTTGTATGCTATCATGAAAAAGTAAGGCCCTATGTATGTAGACTGTGTATGTGTGTGTTTGAATGAAGACTAGTGATGCATGAATGAATGGTTTTTATCAGAGTTATGATCTAATTTATGATAACATAGTAATTCTGACATCTAAAAAAAATAACATCTCACA